AGAAATCTCTGTTTAATTGTGAACTCTCCTTCAGTCCTTATGCCCCTTTTTCATATTTCCTGGTTCTATCAGAGGAGAAAGGGTGTTTTTAGATAGTTGCTCTAAAAAATGAAAATAAAATTAAAGCTCTGAGTACCACATTGGAACTCAGTTTGACTACTGCCTATAAAAAACAGCATTCAGAATTTAGTCCTGTAAGCAGCCAAAACATGAAGCTTTGGCACCTCAACATCCAGGATTTCATGAGAGCTGATTAGATTTATTGCCATGATTAAGAGTTATCTTTACTAGGTTGATGGTAGGCCAGCAACAAATGCACTAAGTCAGTCATATGGCTAATGGGTGCTCTGTGATGGAGGCAGCACAGATTCATTTCAAACACATTAACGTTTTGCAACTATAACTGTAAAGCAGTAATAAAACTCCCAACTCATGCATTACTTTAGAAGGCAAAGTAATACAAGCAGTGAGCCAATTCACATACCTTGGCAGTAACATGCAAGCCATTGGGGATAGCCAGAAGGCAATAATATCACAAATTGGCAAGGCAACAGCTGCATTCGCCAGTTTAAACAAGATGATCATCAAAAATCTACCATTAAAAGACCAAACTATGAATCATCAACTTAAATGTTATTTCCACCTTAATATATAGATGTGAAAACTAGAAATCCACCAAAGATATAGGCATGTGTTTCAGTGCCTTCAAAAGCAAATACCTCAGGAAAATATGAGATGTTCAATGGAGAGAATGTAAAAAAAACGCTGAGATTTGTCCAAGTGTTCAACAGCTCTTTATCTCCAACATTATCCAGAAAAAAAACTTAAAAAACAACAGTCTAGTAGCACCTTAAAGACTAACAAAACATGTACATGGTATCATGAGCTTTCGTGGGCTCAGCACACAACATATTTGGGACATGTTTTAGCAATGGAGCCCTAGAGTGTCTGTTGTGGCAGGATCCATGCATTGGATAGCTGCAGGAACACACAAAAGGAGGTGACTGATAGAATCAATGTGTAAAACAGTACCTAGAGACAAAAAGCCTATAGAACTTAAAAAAATAGAGGTGCCCTATGCATTTTGAAAGGCATGGGAAGGATTCAGAGTCAGTTTTGCAAGAACAAAGTTGAGTCCAATCAAGTGGCATCTAGCTCCACCTGCTGTAGCTTTTCTGCAGTTCATTTTTCTCCAGAGCTGCTAGATCAGTGTTTCCCAAATGGTGTTCCGTGGAACCCTGGGGTTCTGTGAAGTAAAAATAAGGGTCCAGCGAGCTATGCATTTTGAAAGGCATGGGAAGGATTCAGAGTCAGTTTTGCAAGAACAAAGTTGAGTCCAATCAAGTGGCATCTAGCTCCACCTGCTGTAGCTTTTCTGCAGTTCATTTTTCTCCAGAGCTGCTAGATCAGTGTTTCCCAAATGGTGTTCCGTGGAACCCTGGGGTTCTGTGAAGTAAAAATAAGGGTCCAGCGAGAAAATTCCATTAAAATAATATTTTATGATTAAAAAATAATAATTAATATTTATTAATTAATTTGATTTTGGTTTTTAAATATGTGCAGTTAAACTAAATGTTGATCTCATGACCTTGTTTAGCATTTGTTTATTACCCTTACTTATTTGTGGTCTACTTTTTGAGCTCCATATATAAGACTGCTGTTAGGGATTCCACAAAACTCTTTCAAGTTTAAAAGGGTTCTGTGGCCAAATAAAATTGGGAAACACTGTACTAGATACATACGTCCTGATTTCAGCAAAAATTACTGACCTTAATCATCCTCTTCAGAAATATTTTGGATGATTTCCCATGCGTCTTGCTTTGGGCCATGTTGTCATAGATAATTTATGGATTTTGGTATTTATAAAAATACCAGTGCTTCATTACCTCTGGATTTGTGTGATATTGTGTCATGGCAATTCAGTAATACTGAAAATGGGAAATGATCACTGGAACTGTTCTTTTAAATATTTTAAAAGGAGATGGGATTTTTCCTCACAGCCTATTTACTCAGAGAAACAAAATTTTAAAAAATCCTTTTGTGAATCCTTGTCATGATTATAAGGATCATTTCGATAATATTGTGTTGGGAGTTGAACAGATGAGACATTTCTATATTGTTTTCTTCACTTTTTCCAATTTCAGACACTGAAAATTAAAAAGACAGAACTCTGTTGTTATATGATAGTGTGGTAATTACACATGTACTTGTTCTACTTCAGTGCTAGATTCTGCCCTCAGCTAACAGCATTTTACAGAGAACAATCCCCTCATGTATTCTGTTTTAGGGCTGCCTGAATCATATCTCTAGTGCAAGGGATATATCCCAGCTACAATGGCCAGAATAGCTGGAGGCATGGCTCTGCCCCTCCTGCCATAAGCAGAAGCAGATGTACCTTGTGTCCCATAAAGGATGGTTACGGATTTCTTCCGAGGAGGAGTTGAGCCTATCTGAGGCACATTGCCTCCTAATGCACCTGCTGAGATAGTGTAGCTTCACAATAGTCCTTGCTACATGTTCTCATAGATGCAGGGGCGGATATAGGGCAGGGCGAACGGGGAGGCCGCCCCGGGCCCCGCGCTTCAAAAAGCCCCGCGCATGCGCCGTGGCACCACCGCGCATGCGCATGGCGTCACTGCGCATGCACCATGGCAAAGGGGGGCCCCACGTAATTATGCTGCCCGGGGCCCCTCAAAACGGTCATCTGCCCCTGCATAGATGTAGACAACTGATGCAATATTAGGGCTAGATTCTATTGCTCTTACTCCACAAACTATCCCACTGATTTTAGTGGTATTACTTAGAGAGTCAGGATACTACTCATCATAATAAGTGAGACAGAATCTAGCCTTAGGTGTCATTGGCCCAGAAAGACATGCTGACCGGAGTGAGACAGGCAAATATTTCCACTGTTGCTGAGTTGCTAGGGAGAGAAGAGATCCACTATAAAGGATTAAACATGAATTGAAAACAGAAAAATCAGGAGTGGAGGGAAAGAAGACTGAAGAATCCCTAGAACAGTTCTAAATTTCTTTGAATGGATAATTTTCACCCTACTCTGAAAAGAGTACCTGCCTGCATGCATGCATGCACATGTATGAGGTATTTACCAAAATACACAAATTCATTTCCTTCCTGAGTTTAATCTATATTCTTATGAACAACAAAGTGAGATTATATCTGAGCTGGAAGGTTCTAGGTTGTATTTTCCTGCAGGCTTTCTTATTTCATTCTTCTCTCTCCTCACTTCCTGTAGAGAGATCAATGTGATAAATAGATCCTCACTCCTGGGCCCATACTCCAAGGCAGAAGCTTCCCAAGCTCCAAGTTCTAAACTGGGGATTTCAGCAGTAAACATGTGCTGCCAAGACCTGTGTAGGTGCCCATTAATGCATCTCTCCAACCACAGGAAAGCTTGTGCAGTGAAAATGCGTTCTGGGACATCTAGCTATTCAGCTACCTTTCACTATCTCAACATTTCCTCAGATATCTTATGTCTTTTTCTCAAAAAATCCTATCTCAAGCAGATTAGTGATAGAAATGTAGCCATGTTAGTCTGGTGTAGCTGAAACAAAATACAGGACTATGTAGCACTTTAAAGACTATGTAGTCTTTAAAGTGCTACATAGTCCTGTATTTTGTTTCTATCTCAAGCACTGATGCTTTGACTCTTGTACCTTATTTTCCATTTTTATAAAATTGTTTTCATTTGTCCCCATTTGTAGGCATCGGAGACTGCATCAGACACACATTGGAACATTGATCTTGACAACTTTCCAATGTTGTAGAATTGTGTACCTCCCACATACTGAACCATTGTTCTGGTGAAAAACTCTGTGTTGATTGGGAGTTTCTACACCCTCCATTCCTGAACTTGCTCCTCTGGTGGTGCTTAACACTTACTGCTCCGTGACCAGTTGTCCCAAAGCACTGAGTTTGGTGTTCAAGAGCAGACCTCTTTAGTAAACAGTCAACTCTGTTATAATCTTCTGGATGCAGCTAACCAAAGTCTCTAGCTAGTCCTGTTTTGATTAAATTAGTCAATACATCAGCTCTTTAGTCCAAAAATACTGTAGGAAAAATTAATCATTTTGCTGTCCTCTCAGCATGAGAGTTTAGAGCTTAGTTTAAGAGTTCTGTAACCTTTTGTCTTTTTTTATTAAAATATTTAAAATATATTGTTTTTTGTACAGGCCATCCTTGCTATAAGTCCAAGATATATTCCAAAAAACTTGTACTTACACTGAAACAACTTAAAGCAGGGAATTTTTTTCCCATGGCTGACTTCCATTTGTGCAAATTGGTTTGGTTTTTTGGTGCAACTTAAGATCAGGGAATGAGAGGACTTTTAACTCATCAGTTCCTACAAACGTCAACAACTTTAGTGCTGAATGGATGTATACCAGGGTGACTTATAGAAGGGACACTCTTTACCTTTGGGAATATATTTTCCTCCTACTTGGGAAAAAAACCCTGGTGCTTGGAGGAGAGGAAGTGTCTGTTTTCCACTTCAGGGCATGCATGTATCTAAACATTGGTTATGTGCTGAAACACAGACCCAATGGTGATCTATGACAGTGTGTAACTTCAGAGAACAGCATTTACAGATAATTAATTTCCTATTTCTAGTTTTGGAAATTGGATTTTCCTTTTCGGTTAGACACAATGGCCCAGCTAAACGATTTTCCAAGAGAAATGTTGTTTTTGAAGCACTTTAAGCACTCAAGCAACTTAACTTAAAAATTATTCATGCATTTTGCACAGAGGTCTGTTTGTATATGCATCAAATGTGAATACATTTTTATGTGCCAAAATTACACAGATTTGTATTTCTTTCTCCTCATGAAAATCAGCCATTGTTTTGACTGTGCATATTTATAGATTAGCACAAGAATATTGATTAGTGCATCTAATTTAGAAGATCATGTTTTTATATTACACAAATAATCAGAAATTTAGCATTAGCAGTACATAATAATTATGTTTGACTTATTTTTTAGGAACCACTAAAAGAGGAGGTATCTGCTACTCAGGAAGAAGTACTAAAGAAAGTGGATGAAGTAACTATTGCAAAGACTTCCCCAAGACCAAAGGTGAGTTCAAATTGCTCATTAAAGTTCTGATTCAGCAAAGTTCTTAAACACATGCATAATTTTAGCCAATAAGACTACTCACATCCTGAAAGTTACTTATCTATGTAAGTACCTTCCTGAATCAAGGCCTAAATCCTTACTGATAGAAATGTAGCCGTGTTAGTCTGGTGTAGCTGAAAAAAAACCCAGGACTATATAGCACTTTAAAGACTAACAAGATGGTTTATTAGGTGATGAGCTTTCGTGGGCCTGACCCACTTCCTCAGATCAAATAGTGGAAGAAAATTGGCACAATCATATATACCAAAGGATACAATCAAAAAAATGAACACATATGAAAAGGACAAATCAAATTTCAGAACAGAAGAGGGATGGGGGGAGGTAAATGTCTGTGAGCTAATGATATTAGAGGTGATAATTGGGGA